GTGATGTTAACATTACTTTTTTTGAATATTGGTTCTATTTTTCAAACAATACGATATACCAATTTCCGGACCACCTATATACCTATATACTTCTTCGATTTTTTATACCCTTCACTGTGGTTATGTCTTTGTGCATATGTTTGTAACAGGCAAAAGGAAACGAAATAGACACATGGTTCCTTTTGAGAATATGCATAGAATCACTTTCGATTTATGCATGTCCATCCGACCGTCTGTCTGTCCATGTTAAATTGTAAACAAAGTCAAGGTCGCATTAATGAGTCGAATTGGATTTATTTGGCCCATGGACGAACTCTATCGGTTCAGATTTAGATATAGCTCTCTTATATATATATATATATATATTCGTCCGATTTAAGGTAAATGGTGCACCACAGTCCCTAAATAATTTTCGATTTGCACGAAATTTGGCATAGCGTATTGAATTAAGCCTAGAATGATGTGTGCCAAGTTTCATGAAAATTGGTTCCGATATATTTTCGTCCGATTTGAGGTAAATGGTGCGCCAAAGTCCCTAAATATCTTTCGATTTCCACAAAATTTCGCACAGAGTACTGAATTAACTCTGGAATGATGTGTGCCAAGTTTCATGAAAATCGATTTTGATTTAAATATAGCTCCCATATATATTTTCGTCCGATTTTAGGTAAATGGTGCGCCAAAGTCCCTAAATATCTTTCGATTTGCACAATATTTCGCACAGAGTACTGAATTAAGCCTAGAATGATGTATGCCAAGTTTCATGAAAATCGGTTCAGATTTAAATATAGCTCCCATATATATTTTCGTCCGATATAAGTTAAAGGGTGCACCAAAGTCCCTAAATATCTTTCGATTTGCACGAAATTTGGCATAGTCCCTAAATATCTTTCAATTTGCACGAAATTTTGAACAGAGTACTGAATTAAGCATAGCATGATGTGTGCTAAGTTTCGTAAAAATCGGTTCAGATTTAGATATAGCTCCCATATATATTTTCGTCCGATATAAGTTGCATGATGCACCAAAGTCCCTAATTTTCTTTCGATTTGCACGAAATTTGGCGTAGCGTACTGAATTAACTCTAGAATGATGTGTGCTAAGTTTCGTGAAAATCCCATATATATTTTCGTCCTATGTTATATAAATGTTGCACCAAAGACGCTATATATTTTTCGATTTGCACGGAATTTGGCGTAGTGTACTGAATTGGGTCTAGAATGATGTGTGCTATGTTTCGTGAAAATCGGTTCAGATTTAGATATAATCCTATATATATATATATTTCGTCCGATTTAATGTACTGAATTGAGTCTAGAATGATGTGTGCTAAGCTTCGTGAAGATCCGTTAACACGAAATTTTCACAACGTATCAAATTGAGACTTGAATGACGTTATTGGTGCAGATGCAACCATAGCTTCCATATGTATTAATATTTTAACAGTGCGTGGTACCAAATAGCGTGTATCAATTTTGCTGTAAATCGTTTTCCATAAATTTGTCCCACGGTACGCAGACGACTCTAAATCTGCCCCAATGAAATTAAATTTATCATAGGTTGCAGAAAGACATGAGTATGTTCCTTCGAGGGAACATTAACATACAATTGTAAGGATACATATGTACAATATACCCAATGTGGTGAAGGCTATCATATAGTCGGCCCAGTCCGAATTTACTACTTTCCTTACTGGGTTGAAAAAAATTTTTTTTGGATGGACCATAAATGGCGTGTATTTTAGAGAATATTCTTCAAGGACTATAATAGGATTTTTTTAAGAATATTTCTGCAAGGACTGTAAGAGGCGAGGATTTTTTAGAGAATATTTTTTCAAGGTCAGTTTATATAATATCATATTAAATTTAGGTTTCTAAAATATTGTCTACCTTTGAAAATTCTACAAGAAACAACAATTTATTGGGTAACGTTTAAAATATATTAAACAATGTTATTGTATCCTCACCATTCAATATTGAAGACATTGAACATGTCGAACACACGTTCCCCAATTTAATGGAATTTTCCTTCATTGCCCTGTATTTCATTATTAATTGGTCTTAAATGTAATTAAACATAATTCATTTACTAAATTACTACCGTTGTTCTCAAAAAAAAAATGAATATTATAATAACACCTTACAAAACATTAATTTAATAACTTCACCTCACCCATTCAAAAACTGAAGGTATTCACCCCCACCACCCCCTTCGATCACTCTCTTGAGAATACACCATTCAAGTCTATTAACTAAAAGTGTTTCAGCACACATTTTGTTGGTACTCTTTGCATATTTGTTTAAAGTCCATTGATGATGGCCTTCATACAGATGTGAAGAAAAGGTTGGATGGCCGGTTGGTTGTTCGGTTGCTATGGCTGTAAAATTTCTTTTTAAAAATAAATTTATTACCATAATAAATTTTATTATTATTATTTATTGTAGAAGAAGAAGTGTTGTCCTGGAGACTTGACTATTGGTAGATGTACCAGTAAGACTACTGATGCTGCTGCTCCTACTGTAGTATTAGTTGTTGTTCTTCTTGATCTTATCCCAAATGTCCGAAAGTCTTTTGTCCTACACTTGAGAGGGTCTCATTTGAAGTGGATAAATGTGCCATTGTTTGTATGTCTGCCTGGCTTTGCTTTGAGTTTTGAAGTTTTATCACAAAAATAAAATGATTTATAATAGCTTTAATTAAGATATTGTCATAGAACACTGAAGATAAGTGGGCCAGGCACACACACACACACAGGTACCACAAGCAGATGATGTGAGTGACTAAGTGGTGAATAAAGTTTAAAAGAATATGATTTTAAATGCACGAGCAGTGCTTAGAGATTTAGGAAAGGACATTTAAGAAATTACAGAAAAAAATAGTAAAGAAAGAAACAAATAGTCTCCAATTTGTTTCTATAGAAAAAAGTGTCAAAACATTGTTCTCGATTTTTTTCTATAGAAAGAAGTGTCTGGCCCCAAAGGTCTGGAATTTTTTTCTATAGGAAAAAGTATTGAATATTTTTATACCCTTTGTGCAGGCAAAATAATCCGGTTCAGATTTAGATATAGCTCCCATATAGTTTCGCCCGATTTTAGGTAAATAGTCCATTAGAGTCCCTATATATCTTTCGATTTGCACAAAATTTGACACAGAGTAATGAATAAGCTCTAGAATAATGTGTGTTAAGTTTCGTCAAAATCGGTTTAGATTTAGATATAGCTCCCATATATATCTTCGTCCGATTTAAGGTAAATTATGTACCAAAGTTCCTATATATCTTTCGATTTGCACGAAATTTGCCATATTGTACTGAATTAAGTCTAGAATGATGTGTGCAAAGTTTCATGAAAATCGGTTCAGATGTAGATATAGCTCCCATATAGAATTTAAGGTAAATTGTGTACCAAAGTCCCTATATATCTTTCGATTTACACGAAATCTGGCATAACGTACTGAATTAAGTCTGGAATTATGTGTGCAAAGTTTCGTAAAAATCGGTTCAGATTTAGAAAATGCTCCCATATATATTTTCATCCGATTTTAGGTAATTGGTGCACCAAAGTCTCTGAAAATCATTCGATTTGCACGAAATTTGTCATAGCGGACTGAATTAAGTCTAGAATGACGTGTGCTAAGTTTCGTGAAAATCGATGCAGATTTAGATGTAGCTCCCATATATATTTTCATCCGATTTTAGGTAATTGGTGCACCAAGGTCTTTAAAAATCATTCGATTTGCACGAAATTTGTCATAGCGGACTGAATTAAGTCTAGAACGACGTGTGCTAAGTTTCGTGAAAATCGGTTCAGATTTAGATGAAGCTCCCATATATATTTTCGTTCGATTTTATGTCCCTATATATCTTTCGATTTGCACGAATTTTGGTATAGAGTACTGAATTAAGCCTAAAATGATGTTGCTAAGCTTCGTGAAAAGATCCATAGCTAGGCCGATTGACACAACGTACTGAAGTAATATAAATTAGTATCTGGCAAGTTTCCCTGAAATCGGTTCAGATATAGATATATAACAAACACGCGACGTCTGTTAGGATACATATGTAGAATATACCCAAAGTGGTCGGCCCGATCCGACTTTACTACTTTCCTTACTGGTTCTATAGAAAATAGTGTCGAACCAAGGGTCTTGAATTTATTTTTCTAAAGAAAAATGTGTCAGATCAATAATAAACTCATCCATATTTAAAATTAACAACCTGTAGCATGTTTTCAAAATTCATTCAAATCTCATTAGCAATTTTTTTGTGTATACAAATCGTTTCGAAAGTGAATTTGTTTTCAATTGTCTCATTTATTGATTGTGAAAAATAATTCTTACTGTCATCTCATTGTTTTTTTTTTTTTTTTGGAAATTCCATTCCATCATCTCCATTGTTTTTAATATTCATTATATATCTCCTGATGATGATGCTTCTTCTTTATTCTCATAATCATCGTCATCCTGATGTTATTATTAAATTTTTTATGCGATTAATTTTCAAAAGTGCGTTATGAATTTTAATGAAACATTAAATTACATTACGAATGCTATGCTACACTGGTGGTATTGTTGTTGTAGCTCCTTCCTGACTGTTGTTGTTGTTTCTGTTGCCCATCATCAGCCAAGCACTTGATTTCATGGCAAATGCGTATAATTGACGTTGAATTTTCAAGTATGTATTTTTTGTGTACTTCACATCACAGCTCTGTCAATGTCCTCTTCATCACTGATGCTCCGGTGAATGTCATTACCAGGAAAAATAAACAATAACGATAAAAGTCAACGCTATTGGGTATTGTTTAAAAAATCGGAATTTACTTTAAATGATTTGCAAATAGTTTTAAAGTTTTTTTCGGAATTGAATTTAAAAATAAATATTGTTATCAGCAGGGTATTCCAACAGGATTGATTTTTTATGTATTTTAAGGCAAAAATATATGTCAAAATAGTTACCCTAATTATCCAAAAATAAAATTAATTAAAATTTGTTTTTATTCCAGGACCCCCTGGTGTACCCGGTGAAAGAGGTGAAACCGGTCCTGCAGGTCCTCCAGGACCACCCGGTGAGAAAGGACCACGAGGCAAACGTGGCAAGCGGGTAAGTAACATACTTTCTTTATACACATTTTAATCCTTTTGCACTTCTATATAAAGGATAATTGAGAATGAAATGAAACAACTCTTTTGTAAATACTTCGATAAAAAAAAACACTCTCTCTTTACATGTAAAAAACCACATGTACATATGATTATGTATACAGTGTACATACAAAAAAATACAAACAAATATAAAAACACCCACCACATTTATATATACTCGTATAGACCATACACAAATGCTGTAAATATTTTGTTAGGTTAAATCGAAAGTTCAAAAACCCATCAGATACTGTGTTGTTCTTCCTTGTACAATATGTAAACAATGTATTGAACATGAAATGCCTGTGTGATTGACTAGGTGACTATCAGCCTGTCTGCCTGCTTATACGATTGCCTGCAGAGCACGTAACTACATATAAGTGAAAATGATGGAAAAAATGTAAAACGATTTTTTTTATACACAAACAAAAAAATATAAATTTGTAACACCTTGTGGAAATTTTCCAATAACACCATTGACAATATTGGTTTTATAAAAAAAAAACGTCCTATCAAACCTCCTATATATCTATGTATATATGACACTCCCAATATTCCTCTACTCTCCCCTCTCCTGGAAAACAAATGCATGTAACTAAAACAAAAGACAATTTTCTTTAGGTTCTTTGTTTTTTTTTTTTTTTTTTTTTTTTGAAGTAAAACTCCCCAAAAGTATTACCAAACTATTGACATTTGACTTATCGGCGAAAAAAAGAAATAACAGCCAACAGTTCAACGACAACTTCAAAACTTTTATTTTGAAAATGTGTTGCCACAACGTGAAACTAAGGCTCACGATTAAAATTGGATATCCTCCGAGGAACAATTAAAGTATTTTCTTTTGTTGCTAGAAGTTTGTCAAACCAAAAAAATTATGTTTGTTTTATTTTTGTTATCTCGAGGGTGTGCTCCACTACCACAAAAAATAAGTAGCGCGTTCGCCGAAACAACTGTTCTTATTAGATGTCAAACTGCATGAAGTGCAACACATCGATAACACGTCAAAAACAATGTAAGTTTATTTTAAGTATAAATTTTCGAAACTCCGCGAAACTAGAGTACCAACTACTTGGATGGTGGAGCAAACAAATGTAGAATAAGCCGGTATTGAATGAAGCCGATGTTACTGTCCCGGATCCCACTTCGTTGTATACATACGATTATGTAGTTGTATTTGTGGCTGTTTAACATCCAGGGAGCTATTTGGAAATTACAATATAAACGACGATATTTGAGATAACACCACGTTTAAATCTATCAAAGAAGTAAATATTACATTAAGGGGCCTGCATAGTGCATATGGTGGTTGGTGCAAACAGATCCTACTTCGATTTTTTTTTCTTTTATCTCCTACATTATAACAAAACGCCTTCCCTTCATCCTTCTCTAAGATTCTGGGAAGAGGAAAAAGTCAGCGGAGCGAAATCCGGAGGCTATGGCACAATAGCGGGTTTGGTTTTTCTGGGCCTCCCTTAACCGGTTAAACTTCAGATTAACTTGTGTTCTGCTCATAGTATACTCGCCAAACTCTTGAGGGCAGAGTTTTATATCTGTGCTTACAGCTTTAATCGGGAAGAGGTAGAGGAAAAAGTTAGCGGAGCGAAATCCGGAGGCTAAGGCATAATAGCGGGTTTGCTCTTTCTGGGCCTCCCTTAATCGGTTAAACCTCAGATTAACTTGTGTTCGGCTCATAGTAGGCTATTGAGGTCAGAGTTTTATAACTGTGCTTACAGCTTTAATCGAATCGAATGAAAATAGACATATAATCTTTCTATTTCGAGTCCTTGTGAGTATTTTTCATAATTTTTTTTTTTTTTTTTTTTGGAACGATAAACTAATTACAGCATGACACGATTTTTTTACAAATGTCCCGCATAGGATTTTAGAGTCAGGAAATCGAAAAATTCCGTATAAGTTTTAAATTATAAAGAACAGCCGTAATTAACTGAGCTGTTTAATAGGTTTTATTGCACCAAACACAATAATAACTTTACTTCGCTAGGAGCTGATTTTCAAATAATAAATCCAGTTTTTTGCACTCACCTCAAAAATATCCCAAAAGCCACCAATAATGAAAAATTATCTACTTGGCATATTCTGGAAACCAAAAGGCTTTGTCTACCTATTTTGTATACCTTGAGCCTATTGACAAAAACGTGTCTAATTGAAATATTCGTTTTGACCCCATCCTCTATGACTGGGAACCTATCTATTTATGAGATGAGACCAGAGAGTCTTCTATGAACGTGCTGAAATCTTCTGTGAACGAACTGAAGCAGACGAGCTGAAGGGTGACATTATAGACAAGCTGATGAAAGAAAGCTTTCAAAAGGGAGTCGAGGTAAATAGGGAGTCTTCTGTGGACGAAAAATAATAGGGATTCTCTATTGACGAACTGAAGTCCAGGAAATATCTATGGACCAGCTGAGGCCAGGGAGTATTTATGGACGAACTGTAGACTGTATTTTCAATGAGAGGTAGGGAGTATTCTTAATCAGAGGGGGAAAATCCTTTTTTATGTTCTGAAATAAGTCTTTATAGTGCGTACGATAACTTTAGAAACAAGTAACAGATTTGATCAAAATATTGCATATCATAATATTTCGTTCAAACATAATTCAAGTTCGAAAATGGGGAATATCGGTCGACTTAATCTGTTCAAAATGGTATAATTATGCCGATTTGCCCCACAAAGGGTTATTATTTTGAAAATTTTTAATTGAAAATTAATTCTCTGATTTCATCAAATTTATTTCATTCAAGCACATC